GCCCCGACCAGGAGGGAGGGCGAATATGGCCTCTCCGCCCCGAGCAGCGTTTCTTTGCACGGGGCCGCCTGCGACCAGCTCCTCGGCTCCCTCGGTTTCCGCCCGACCGGTGAAACACGTCTCAGGATCGGTGGTGGGTGAGGACGGACCAACGGTCCCAACGGTCCAACGGTGTTTGGTACAAAGGTGAGTCCCCCGCAGACCCACTGGAATTCGTATTTTGGGGAATTGTTGGGAGGTGCTCTCCAAGATGTTAAAGCGTGGGGAGTAGAGAGTATAGGGTTGGACAGAGGAGAAGACATAGTAGAGTTTCCAAGGTTGCGCTGCCCCTACACTGTTCGGGCGTTTTCATGTTTTTGCGTATCGAAACCCAACGAAGCCTCGTCCTCCTTTTCGATTGTTTCCTGCTCAGGGTTTTGAGTCAGAGAGGGTTGAAAATGGAGTGACTTGTAACCAAGTACCAAGCCTATACCAAGCTCCAAATGCAGCCAAAACATGCCCTGGACAAGAGAATAGAATCAATTGTCCCGGGCACTCTTGAATGATGATGTGGTGCTGTGCTTCACAATGCAAAGTAATCCAGTCCCCCTAATAAAAAACGCCCCCCCCCCTAATAAGGAAACCTCGGTCGCATTTTTTCTAATAGGGGGTCCCTGAAATCGGGGGGGCCCAAAATAGGGTCACCTGGGAAGAGCTTCAAAACCAAAAAGTAAATCAGTAAAAATTTATATATAAACTCCTTTATTAAACTCGTATCAAAAATGCAAAAAAGCTCCAGATCGAAGGGCCTTCCTTTTCCCCTACAAAAACCTTCATTAGAATAGTGATTCTTCAGTAGACTAACAGCTAAAGCTTTCGAAGGGTGATGTCGCTGTGCCATGCGGTGTTGCATGACCTCGGTGGCAAGCGCGTTTGCGTGAGTCCGTGCCATTGGGGGAAGGAAAGCCTGCTGGTGTAAGCGCGGCGTGTCATGGTGGATAGACAGGGCAGACAGAGGTGGGCAGTTACGGTTGGTTTTGGAACCTAACAAAAAAACTCCTCCAAAGTCGGCAATGTTGGTAGTTTAGTAGCGGCTTGAAAGGGCGGCAATTTAAAGCCAAATATAAACCGAATTTAGGGGGATCCGGCGTGACTTTTTTAAATAGGGGTCCGTTTTTTAATAGGTACTCGGGATTACTGTACATGGTACTGGTGGTGTTCTAGCCCACCTTGTGAACAAGCCGGGCATAGTAACCTGACTGGTGCAAATCCTTGGAAAACGAAGTCGGAAACCAAAAGCACAGCCCCAGTAGATTTGGAATGTTCATTGGAAGATGTTTGAAGGTTCAATTCGGTAGGTCACCAGGGCTGGTCCAATATGCACCAAAAAGTCCAGGAGCCGGTGCTTGTGCCTTTCATGGGGTACCCCGGGTAACAGTTCAGATCTTTATCTCACTGCTGATCATTTCCTTCCACAGATAGGGCCTTGGCTTGACCTTAAAGTGTCAAAGGTGACCAAACGTTCAGAAGACCTGAATGGAGAGCTTTCCTGTCATATCACCAGGCAGCTAGCCTAAAGGGTCCTCTCAGTGTTTGAGTCATGTAGAACATCCATTCCACCCCGTTCCACGCCCGGCCCTTTCGTCACCATCGGTCAAATGCTTTGGAATTTGAAGCCATTCTGGGAAAAGTCCGGAAAGACACCAACACATAGGATGTTGGACCACCTGCCCTCCACCAGGTACGTCATTATACCTGGTCTTTTACTCGAGAGTCTTACATTCGCTTCCGCTGCTTACTAAGGTGCACGAACCCTTTCAAAAATTCACAGCTCGATTTACAAAAGAACAAGGGCGGTGCCCCAATATAAAGTCCGATCTGAGCAAATCGGGGGTCTGGGAGAGTGAGCGCCGAAGGCTCAGGTGATGGCTCCCCGCACTCCGCACGTGCGACCGCACTGAGGATCCTGAGCCGGTTGCTGGATCCGACCACCTTGGAGGAGCTGGAGCCTGAAGAGAGGCCACGAAGCTGGCGATACCTAGCGCCTCCAATGGGTGACCTTAGTTGGTGACCTACTTAAGTAGTGTAGGGCTGTCCATTTTTAAGCCCTTGGAAGCAGCTGGTATGCATCTAGTAGCTAATATAGACACCTTGACCTCAGATACACCATGATAAACCCATGATTAGACCGAGGGGCCCCACCCCTTGGGCGTCCCGGTGCCCGTCAACCTGTCCGACGTCAGATTGATGTTCGACCTCAATGCACCTTCCGGCGCTCTGCGTGGACGGATGTTCTCCATGATCGGGCGTGAGTGTAGATCGAAGAAATTTCGGAGACGTGCCAAAGCTCCCAAGTAAGGCAGACAGACACCAGACCAGACCAGACAGAGACAGAGACAGAGACAGAGACAGAGAGGGAGGGAGAGGGACGGAGACACAGTGCAGCTCCACCTGCTCCACAGCCTGAGGATGCGCCAAAGGACGCTATTAGGAGGCCATTGCTACTAGGAACCAGAAGCTACTAGCAGCTAGACTAGCTAGGTGGAGGCCATCGCTATTAGGTTGGAGCCCATTCCTACTTACTATACGTAGTAATTAACAAGAAACTCCTAGCAACACAGGGTCCAAGCTCCACGGCCTCCACAGGTCCGAGCCTCCCAGCTTCGAGCTCCTCAGGGCTTTGGCCTTTGGTTCGCCCAGCACGGGCCCTGCGCGGGAACTCGAGGCGGCGAACCTGGGAGGGACAGGGAACCGGAGGGTGACCGGAGGGACCGGGCCACGTGGTGTGAAGAAGTCGGTGAGTGACCAGTCGATCTGGAAGTCGACTGACTTCCAGATCGATGCCTCATGTTTCAGGTCAGGTCGGACATTCTGCAATGAAGGAGATAGTACTTGGACATACTGGGAACGAATCAATCCATATCCTACATTGTTCCCGGCCTTTTTTCTGACATCTCTTTGGACGTCAAGGGTCGTCCTGTCATCCCATGTCATCCGAACGTGTGTCGCACCGATTCGACACCACGCCTCGGGACCGATCTGGCTCGCCAGGAGGCTGAACTGATGAAGGGATTGTTTCATCCCTTGCAGCCCGGCGCGCGGGTTGCAGAGATGAAGGCCCACCTCGACGTCGTCGACACACGTCCACCTCCATGCACGATCCGTTTCTTGGGGGGCGGCGGAGCGCGGCCGCGGTGCGCGCCCGGCCGCGGAATTGATCCGGGCGTGCCGGGCGTGGTGTCTCATGGTGTTTCCTATAGTCGTTTTGTGGCACGTGTGGTAAGTTTGTTCTGGAGGTTGGGAGGTCAGGCCGTATCATCACCACCGCTAATTCGTGTGAAAGTAACATATTGCAGTGAATATATACGTGGGTGACCCATCAGTTGCCAGTGAGGCCAAAGACAGGACATCGCTTGCTTGGCTCGAGCATCCAAAAGAGACCTCCGACGGCGCGCGACTGGCAACCTTAGCAAGTTGAAGCAATGGCAAGGACCTCCGCAGCACGCTTCCTTGCACAGCGACAGCCGAAGCTGCTTGACCCACCTGAGTGGCCCAAAACGGAATGTGTTTGGGTGGGTGCAGGTGATGGAAGAGATGGGTGAACATCAGTGAAGCTGCTATGCGAGTAACTAACACAGCGTTTTTTCTAATCTTTGTTGCTGACATCCCAGTGACTCCATCGGTAACTTAATGATCAGAGATGGGCCTCCACGACGAAGCTGCCATCTTACTTTGGTGGGCCCTTGTGGAGCTGAGCTCACAAAATGCGTCCTGAAAGATGCAGAACCTGTCTACTATAATAAGACTCCTGTAGTTTTTGTTTGCCGATTTATGTAGTGGCGCATGTGCTCAAAAGTGATCACCCGGGTTATCGATATGATGAATGGATGATTGGGGCAGCAATCAATTCTGGTGAGAACTCAGAGCTCTCAAAGCCAATCTACTTGGACCCTCCAACCCTATAACCTATAACAAATGGAACCGTTTGAAATGTGACATGAGGACCCTAAACAAAACTGTACATTGCACAGTAGTACAATGTATACTAAATCCATCTAAATCAATTTGTCTATATATATATATAGGTACTTTGAAAGACTCCGAGGGGTCCAGATGGTTTGATTCCTCCCCCCTCCGAGTACCAAGGAAGCAGATCTTCTTCGCTTTGACCTTGGCGCTCTTCGGCTCCTTGGCGAGCGCCACGGGTGGAGCACCAAAGGCCGTGGAGCACAGCACTATCGGGACGCCCTGGGGATTTGGCCCACCGAAAGACGAGCAGAACTCCTTTGGGTTTGTCATGGTTTGTCCGATCTGACCTGTAACAGTCAGTCAATGATAACTATGTTTGGAACCAAGTCCTGCAACTGAACCATCATCAGCCACTACTGGTACTAGGATAGACCATGAATAGACGACCTGGGAGGTCAACGAGCCGTCCAAACAGTGCCAATGCCGATCTCTGGAGCAAAACAACCACTTGGAGTCGCCCTTGAGAAGAAACACTCTTCAGAAACCTGGGCCAAGGGAATCCAAGAGGAGTCCCTTTGGTTCTCGACATGTTTTTGCTTCCTGATCCGCCAAGGATTCCGGGCCTGGAACTTTGTTTGCGCCCCAAAGCCTGCAGAAACAGGCAAGGCCTGGGGAAGATGGAACATGACCCACAGAACCTGCGTGCGTTTTTCCACGTGTTCAGTGCCGTGTTCACGCCGGTGGGGTCCTTGAGGGTGGGATGTGCGAGTGCTTCAACTTGATCGCATCCCTAGGGCTCCCAGTCGTACCTTCTGAGAGGTTAACAAAAACGGTGAGAACTGGAGAGGCTGACGTAGGGTTTTCCGGAACAGAACTGGACCTCAGGTTCTTTTTGCCACGGTTTCTTTTCGCCTTCCAGGCTTCCCCTGAAAATCAAGTCAGATATACTGATATACATCAGATTTGTTCATTCAATCACACGTCATTTCCTGTCTTCCCCTCTGCCGGGTTCCCAATTTCCGCGTGATAAATCCACGCATGACTGCCTCACCATGCCAGGTTTGCCAGCCGCGCCACAGTCAGCAGTGTCCCAGCCGGCTCCCTCCACCCCGACCGCGGAGAGCAGCACCGCCGCAAGCAGCACCCCGATGACCATGACCAGCTTGACAGCCATCCCCTTGGCCTATGTGGCGGCCAACAAAGGAGAGAGACGTGAGAACGGCAAAGCACACAACCAGCTCAGAGCGCTACAGCTCAGACCGGCTAACAAACCAGCTCAAATAGATAAATAGGCAGCGATCATATCATGTCATATCATGTCGCAAGCCCCCCCAAAAAAGAAACGATTACCTTACAAACTATATAGGCTATCCTAGCCCACCATATCAAGTCCTAGGCATTTTTTGATGTTTCCCTCCCTTGTGATGAACACCTATACGGCAGCCTCTCCAGGACTCTCCACCTTGAGCGGTGGCCGTGCCAGTAAGGCCTTGCGCCGGTCCACCGCGGCCCCTGAAGATGTGCCTTCGTCTCGGTGGAACGAGACGGGGAACGGAGGGCGTTTCATCTGGGGTCCAGGAGTGGAGTTGAACGAACGAACGGAAGGAGGAAGGAGTTGGGTGCCCCGGTCACAGCCCCTGGATGGACCTAAAAACCCACCCTTGGTGGGCCATCCTTAGAAGAGCAAGGCCGCCAAGGAAGAATTGACTCTTTGCGGTGAACATGCATCGCTCCTCAATAGCCACAGGAACACTGTTGATCAGCCTCTTTTGGGGTCTAAAGGTGTCCAAAAGTAGCTCCTCAGTAGCATGGACTTTTCTACACCGCAGCCACAGCCGCTACAAACCGTCATTGCTTTGCTGCTTTGCAGGCAGGTCCACCCCCAAGAGTCGGCCCACGTCCCCCCCGCAGTGACCCTCACCCCTCCGTGCTCCCAGGTGAGGGGTGAGGTCACGGGTGTCGTGCTTCCAGTGCTGGCCGCTCTCGCGGGGTGGCTCGCCGTGATGTGACTCGGTGAAGACGGGACGCGGCGCGCGCGATCCGGGACGTCCTGGGCGTCAAAGGCTTGCAATGAACATTGACAGGTGGAGAGAAGATGACAGAATGATCGAACAGTGGGAATTTCCAGCTATATATCACAGATGTGAGTCGGTTTATGCACGGCACCAGCTAACAGACCTAGCCGTTCCTGTTGCTTTCCGGAAGTCTCCCAACTTCAGAGCTTGAGAGCCATGCCCCCAGCATTCGAGCAGGTGATATACGTTACCTGTGTTTCAGGATCCGTCCGCTGGGGTCGACTGGGAGAGGTCGAGTGCGGTTCTTCAACCTTTCCCAGACACGACGTGTCTGGGACTGCCATTACCCAGACACTCCATGTATGCCATATATACCTGGAACTTCGTTACGGCAATAATAATTGCCGTTTTCATGAAACGTCGCCTTTTTCCGTTCTGCGGCGTTCTTCCATATTGATCTCATGGGGACGGCGTTTCTTGATGAACTGCGGCAGCTTCGGTCAGTTGACGGCAATTTTGGTCCACACATCCATGCGCCTCAAAGAGTCATTTCGTTTTAGTTTTAGGTGCAGGCGAGTATGAAAACATTGTAGGGTCTTGCTTGAAAGGCAACTGAACGTAAAAGGCGTCTTATTATATCAGCAAACTCGCATAGTCATGTGAAGTGGAAAGGGCAGCTGATGGAAGTGTCACATGCTGGGTTTTCGTCGGTTTTCGCGGGTAACTCGACCTCTTGCGCGGCGTTGCAGAAGATTTTGCGTTTAAAGTTACGGCGTTCTTACCCGTACTTACGGCGTTTTTCCCCGTACTTACGGCGTTTTTCCCCGTACTTACGGCGTTTTCCCCCTACTTACGGCGTCGTTCCCTTACCCTGTCTATAGGGTCACTCAAGGTGGCAGCAAGACTTGTCACAACATGTCACAAGCGATCCTTTCAGCCATTGCATGATCAAAATGTGAACAAATCCTGCCGTGATGTCAATCGAGACCTTAGACAAGGGCTGCAACATCTTGAGAAGTGCTACCATGAGGCTTGAAAACGATGAGCTCTACTTACAAGTGAAAAAGGAGAAGGCAATTTCAGGGTATGGACGGACCAAAACAATATCCTCTTTGGTAGATCAATCAAAACGGCGATTCTTCTTTTGTGACGGCGTTTTCACTTCTCTGACGGCGTTTTCACTTTCCAGGGATTGAGCTACGGCAGAAAAAATGAGTTACGGCAGAAATTATTGCCTCAACAGCCTACGGCAAAAATTATTGCCTCGGGAGGGTCTAGGTATGCCTACATTGACCCCCAAACCACCCCGATGTAGGCATATACGGCATACATGGAGTGTTTGGGTTATGTGCCGCCCCCAACCACCCAAGGTCCACCACCCCATACCACCGTTTCTCGGCCGTCCGGACTGGCAGTCCCAGAAACGTCGTGTCGGGGTTGGTTGGCAGTTGCCATGCAGTGCCGCTCCGGGCTGTCGGCTGTCGGGCGCTCGGGCAGGCGCTTCTAGCCTGCTGCCGCAACGGCTGTACGACTGACTGGGTCCATTGGTCGGTCAAGAGCGTACTGCATACACCTCTCTTGCAAACAGGACTTGGGATACCTTGGGACTTCTTGGGATCTATTGGTACGGCATGTCTTACTGCTGGAGCCTGCTACGAGCTATCGAAGATTGACCAGGGAATCGAATGACCAAACCAGTTTTTACATCTTCTGGGCACTGATGCCATCAAAACGTTTGGGAGCCCTGTTCTAGGGCTTTTGCAGCAATATGGTGTTTGGAGGGGTCCGGATCCAGTCTTTTTCTAGCTTGTGCTTGGGTGGATGGACTGTGGATGGGTGGATAGCCCCTGGGGAAGGTTCTCACTTCTTGCCCAAACTACATATAGATCATTAAGGTTTGAATGAGAATCCAGGCTGTGCTGCACGATTCTCACTTCTTGATCATATATAGGTCACTTGAAGGTCCTGAAGGTGGTGGATGTTTCCCAATGAGGTACGGCATCCAGCACAGCCTCATCGCTGTTGCGTGGCTGCAAGACGGGTGAACAGAGCCCTTTGGGGAAGGCCAAACAGCATCACGTTGCATCAAGTGTACGACTGTAACCGGTTTAAGTTGACTTTTCTCTTGTGATGGCAATTGCTGTGCAAATGACTTCGAGTGAGTCTTTATGGAAACTTGTCGAGGGAGGCTACCGTTCTGGGCTTCACAGAGTGTTTTGGGAGCGTTTCATGCAGGTTTGCAGCTGACGGTGATTGGGTGTTGGAAGGGGGGCATATCGGTCACGACATCGATTTATAGACTTGGAACCACATCTCATCATCGATCACTTTGTTCACGTTCCGATGCTTTTCATGTGTTTCAGTGGTCTAAGAGCTCAGCTCTTCAGCCGAAGCCTCAATAACGCATTGGAGGACTGAGCCCCACGGCCAACGACCCCTCTTGGTTTGTGCGATCAGTGGCATACAAGTCACCCCACTTCATGGTTTGATCGTTGAGTTCGGTGTGCAGTTTTTGCGCCGGACTAAGTTTCAGGATCCATCTGATCCCTGCAGCCCTTACTTGTAATGCCTTGAAGTTGGCCTTCCTCACTGCCCTCCTCCTCCACCATGGAAGTTCCCAACTTGGCCAGTAGAACTTCATCGTTTTTCCCAGCCAAATGCCTGAAAGTGAAACATAGTGAAACCGGTGAAACAGCTTCCTAGTGCAAAGCTCAGGTGCCACTACAGCTTCCTAAGTGAAACAGCCAATTGCCGTAAGCAAGTAGCATTGCCACGAGCTCCTTGCTGTTCCTCCCCTTCTGACTCCCTCCAGGTGCCCTTCTTGTCGGGCACTCAATACGAATACTTCCCCATCGTGGCCACCTTCATCGCGGGCTACGCGGTCATCGTGCTCGAGGAGCAGACCGAGATCAACAAGGCCGCCACGGCGCTGGTCCTGGGGGCGCCTCGGTGGGACCGGAACGACCCCCGTGGGACCGTGGGACCGGAGGCAGGTCCGGGACCGGGAGCGAACGTGGGACCGCGGACTGGTGAGATGGCTGAGAGAGTTGGGAGCTTGGGACGTGCCAGGAGAATGCACTGAACAAAGACGACTCCCTAGTGATTCAGCCGTACCGAACATCAGAAGGTACGACTGGACCCTTCAAACCTACATGACAGTGTCGAACACATCACCTTCTGAGAAGGTACGACTGGATCCCTAGGGACGTTGATCGTTCGAACGCGTTAAAGACTAGGGGTTTGTGCCCCGCCGTTGGAAGGGGCTTCGCAGCTTCGCTCTCTTCCCCATGATTCCTCGCAGCTTGCGCCCGCGCGCCGTGAGTGAAGCGGGTTGCTGGATTCGTTCTGGCCCATCACCTCCAAAAGCCACACATAAGCTGAAGATACTGAAGATACTGAACCAATTCTGCATCATAAATTTCCCGTCATGATTGGAGGGCTGAGGCCAGCTTGGCTTCTCTTCATGGGATTTTTAGCCTTTAAGCCTTTAAGCTTGGACATGTGACAATCCGTCACAGGAGGGGTGACTCCCAACTCCACCGATGTGTAGCTGGGAGACGCCCTCAGTCTCTTCCCCGACCCCTTGGGTTCGGGAAACGGGAATTCGAGCAGTCTACGCAGCCAGGGGCAGGGGGCCCTGCAACGCCACGGTCCATTCGAGGTGCTGATTTGGGCTTTGGTGGGCACTGGCGTGGACATGGATGCCGCCATGTTCGACACTGCCATCAAGGAGAACGAACGCCCGAACCGGGGATCCTGGATGGAGAAGATGACTGTTTTAAAAGATGACCCCGGTACTGCACAATTGCCAGAAGTTCAAGCTTTTCTTGGACAAGGGCGCACATGTGCCGAGCCTGCAGGGGATGTTGTGAATCAAAGGAGTCACTTTCTGAGCATGCGGGGTTCTCGGCCAGGAGACTTTGGAAGATGTGTCGGAGGCCAGTTTGGAGGGTTCAATTACTTTGGACCTGACCGGAACCACTTCCAATCTTCAAGTCTGACACTCCTTGAGGATGGTTTACTATTTTACTGGAGGTGGATCACGGTGGATCATGGTGCAGCTCCTGGGGAAAAACAATTGTTCCACCACTGATCTTGGTTCTGAGATTCTTGCATACCTACAGTAGGAGTCACAAAGCGGTGCTTAATGGAGGATAGGCTAGGGGTTGCCCATGATCCACTCAAACGCCACCCCTTTGTGACTTCTGGTACTCGTATGTGTGTTTTTTTTCTCCGTTCGCAGCTGCAGGTGGTGTTTTTTCTTCTGGGTGCTTTGACCATCGTGGAGATCATGGATGCGCACAAGGGTCACGCGGTCGCGGCAGCCTGCGAAGACCGACCGACCCCAGAAGACGGGGAAATCCTCGACCAACCCTCAGTAGTGCCCATGGAAGCCCATTAGGGTCTGTCCTATTCAACTCTGGATGGCCGAGTGTGAATTCAACTTTTGACCCTGCCCTGCCATTAAGCTGGCCGCTTTTATTTGTTTCACTGCCATATAGGTACTTCAGACTAAGGTTTTGTGCAGCAGCACTTGCGGACCGAGCGAGTGCACAGGTCGCAGGAACAGAACAGGGTCTGTCCTATTAATGACCTGTAACAGTCAGTAAACAAGCCAATCATCATGTTTGAAGAAGGCCTGCAAACCATCATCATCCACTGGGCGCAGGTAATGGGATAGAGACAAGGTTCCATGGTCATCTTCCAGGGTGTAGGTCTAGGTCGCAGATGGGCAAGGCCACTAAGGCTGAAAGATGAGAACACGAGAAGGACGAGTATAGAGATGGGAGAATGGATGGGAGAACGCAATCTGATGATTGGCCTCAAACACGGTGAGAAACTAGGACAAGATCTACACGGCATAACTGAAGCTTGTGTTCATCATTGAGCAGGTGTCACGACGTGAGTGGTTCACCACTCATGTCCAGAGAGTCAAGTTGTGAGACTCACGTGCAGACGAACATATGTCGCGACACTCTGACGAACACATCACATGGAAGTGGATGGCACGGTCCCTTGGAAAACTGCCTTTCCTCAGGGATTTACTGCTCATGACGCTTCAAAAGATGATTCTTCAGATAGGGTGGTCATCATATACCACTCCCATGGATTTCCTTCACAAACCTACCAAAAGCTACACAAAGCTACCAAAAGCTATGTTAAGCCTGTTAAGCTATAAAAAACTATGCATTTCCAATGACATTGCACAGCCAGGGCCCTTTGTCTCTAGTCTTGGGCCAAAATGATATGAATTTCACTTGTTGGTCCTCAGTCCTGAATCTCTCCCCTCTTCTGTTCTCTCTGGATCCCCATCATGCTATGAAATGCTATGAAAACCTATGGAATTCCCAAGCTAAAGTGGTGTTGGTAACTGATAGGAAAATCAACACATTTCATAGCCTTGTCATTGCCCTCAGTCCAGTTGAAGAGTCATCCTTTAAAGAGCCTCCATCCGTGATTCTAAGATTTCTTTTACCAACAGGGGTTGGTTTTCCCCTTGCATGTGATGTGTTCGTCGGAGTGCACAGATTTGTCGCAATCTCCAGAATCGAAAACCACGGGTCGCTGCTACGGCAAGCAGGTTGCTCGAGCAACGGATGAGCTTAGGCTTCGATATCATCACCAAAGCCATTCAGGCCAAGACCCAGAAGGAGCTGTGCCATGGCTTGTTTGCTTGACCCAGCTGGAATGTCCAAGTTTGGGGGTGGCCCAGACGGACATCAGGCGCTTCTCATGGCGACGGGGTCACTGAGGTTGATCATCATCGGTGTGTTGACCTTTGTGCTGTCTTCAGTGCTCAACAACCTCACTGTGGTTGCCTGGAGAAGATGGGGCGACAGGGCCACTTTTGCGGTTTTTGACGGTTGGGCTGGGCTGGTGCGCGGCGGTGGCATCGATCGGCACGCGAGAGCTGCGGTGGGCTCACGCGAGGTGTCGCTTTTCTGCGTCTTTTTTTCTGGGTCGCCGTCCTCGTGCACGCAACACGTGTCGTGCGCGACTGGGGTGGCTGGCTGGTGGGGAATCCAGGTGACCCGACTGTGCGAAGACGAGTCTAGGCAGTCGAGGCTTCAACAAGCGTATACGTGCAGGCGAGTCCAGGAGGCACAGAGTTGCCGTGTTCATGTCGGCTCGGCAAGGAGTCGCCATACATGATATATCATGAAATCATGTCCATCAATCACCATTCGTGAGCGATGTGTGATTTTAGAGGACCGTGGGACCGTGTGGTTCTTCCTTTTCTCTGCTAAGTCAGGTCATTGTGATGATCTCCCTCCTGCAGAAGCTGGTCAAGGACCCGACCCAAGGGTAGATCTTTGGAGTTGGAGCGGACCCAAAGACGAAAGATCAGAGATGACCCTTGCGATATCATGCGGACCCTCCTGTCGGGGTGTCCTGGCTGAACTACCCCACACTACCTATAGGCTTCCATTGGGCACCCCTTGGAGGGTCCTGGATCATGCGGACACTCATGTTGACGGATGGATGGATGGTGACTGCTGCTGAAGCTTTTCGTGATTTGCCATCAAATGCTATCAGATGCTGAGTCCTCCCAATCTCAGGGTGCACTATTTTTTGGGGGGGTGTCTTAACCAAAAAAGAAAACACATGGTTGCTTGCACGTCTGAATCTTTCTGTATAGAAGTTGTCCACTTCTTCAGACCCCCTGACACACTGATCTTTCGTCAGACACGGAGGATGAAGACTTCCGCATGAAGCTGGGAGGCTTGGTGGTGGTGGCCTCCAACGCTGGAGGCAAACCGCACCGGTCGTATCGCGCCCAAACCACACCTGCGCGTTGGTACGTGCTGGTACGCAAGGCATGCTTGGAGATCCCTATATCACGGATCACTAAGAGGTTTTAAAGTGCTTTGCTTTGGATGTTTGGAGGCCAAAGGCTGGGGCAGGATGTGTCCATCAACCGCACCATACTAACTACTACACTCACTGCACTGGCATAGTCTGTCCAGCCCCTGGTCGCGGTTGCACGGAACAGGGGTTTGATCGTCAATGCACTTGATTTGTGCGTTTGATGCGCGAGGGGTCCAGCACTTAGCATGTATACTAGTGTTCTAACTTCAGAGTTTCGTTATACACGTAATTATAAGATCCAGTACCCAGACACGATTAATGGGACTGCCATATATATGCCTATACATTATCCTACATTGGGGTGGTTTTGGGGGTCAATGTAGGCATATAATATATGGCAGTCCCATAGTCGTGTCTGGGTACTGGATCTTCGCTACGGCACACATATATAATTGCCTTTCAAGAAACATAACATGCCGTTACGCCGTCTTTTCCCCAACAATTACGGCGGTTTGGGCTGTGGCCAGAGGGAAACCGGCAGCATTTTTGAGCAGTAGCGGCGTTATGAGGCGTCGGAGTCGGCGTCTTTCTCCGTCCATGGATGTTGAGCAAATGTGTGCAACCCCTAAAACGGCCATGTCGTTTGGATTGCGACGTCTTTTCACTGAAAAATGCCTCCGGCAGAAATTTGTGCCGTTGGACGATCCAGATGTATACATGTGAGGCTTTGTTTCGGCGACACCACGGTGCTTTTCTTTCGCCTTTGCATGAGGCGTTCCTGGGTTTGAGTGATTTTGAAGGTTCGGTTGGGCACTTCAACATGTTTCACCAGTGACTTCGGCTTATTTAGCCGAATCTAACTGGTGTTGGATTGGCAATATCAGGTTTGATTTATGGCCGTTCGTTGGTCGCACTCTTGCCGTTAGGAGCCTGGACCCCTATTGGCGACATCACCACCACCATGCTGTACATCGGTGGCCAGGTGGATTCGGCCGGGACGGTTTGGATGGCACTGAAAAAGGAAGGTAGAACCCCTGTCACCTCGGAACTTGGGCTGCAGAATTGCTTCAAAATCTCGGAGTCGGTGGTATAGCTGGTTCCCATCTGATGGAATGTGATGCCCTTTTTTCAAAGGTCCACATACCCAGGACCTCCCAGGACCTCTGGTGAAAAGCTGTTCGCCCTGTTTGAGCCTTTTGGTCCAAAGCTGCTTGCAGTGGGTTATATCGATAATTATCGATGTTTTGACGCCATCGAGTTCCTTCGACTATATACTCACATCCCTGGACTAGTTACTTTGCTTGGCGGCCAAGCATGTTGCTTGAAACGTTGCAAGAACTCGTAAAGGCGCACCACCCGTTGGTTTCCTGGGCAGACAGACCGTTGGTGAGACAAGGGACCAGACAGAGTGGCACAAGCTAAAAGTGTATTTGATTTGATGGATTATGATTGATTTTAGCTAATGGTACATAGTTTGGTCATGTTTGATAGCACACGATAGTACATGATAGTACTCAGCTCTGACAAACCTTTCGCTATAGCTGACAGCTGGTCTCAGCATTTTCTGGCTGACAGCGGTGTTCTCAGTTCCGTTGCAGAGTTCCTTGCAGATATACGGCCCCAACAAGTGTGACTTCCTCGGAATTCTTCACCCGGAGCCGGGCCATGGCCAGGCGGTGGCCGCGTGTCAATATCCAACCATCTCTCACTGGACGACTCACATAGGAAGTCACTTTCGGCAAGTCATGCCCAAACATGGTTCACCGAAACCCCAACACCGGTTCACCCTCACATGGTTTGCGCTCCCCCACAGGTCCCCACAGGTGACCTTGGTGCTTTTGGATACTCTTGGCACCTCAAGCCTTTCCCCAGCCGCGGCTGCCGCAGCGGCAGGTGACGACGGTTCCGTTGTTGGCCAATTTGTTCTTCCCCAGCGTGCTTTGCTTGGCCACTGGGGCCGAAGACTGCGAGGGAAGATTAGGTCCCAGCCCCCAGAAAGGCGCGAGAAAGGACCAAAAGGCGCGAGAAAAAAACTTGTTCATGTCCAGCTTGCACTTGCCTAAATTATTGAACACGCAATGCCTAGACATGTTTAAACGTTAAACCAAGAACCTTTTCGTGGGTGGTGATGTGCTGGACCGCTTAGCAAGATCCCTCGATCTTGCTGCAGGAGTCCTCCCAGAAGGAAGAACTGTAGAATGACCTGCTGCTATGTAGATTTGTGCTTCTACAATTAGGTATTTCTGGTGAAATTTCTATAGTACGTGGTCCTATCCCATTTCTTGGAAGCTTTGAAACCTTTTGAGAGATTTAAGTTCGTTTGAAACATGTCCACGTGGACATGCTTCAACTTGAAGTTGCAGTATCAGACCTGGCCATGTTCGACCTGGACCTGACCCATCCGAGGTCGGCACCTTGGGCTATGAGTACCTTCAGATGGACGATAAGCCTTTCGATCCTTGGACGACCAAATCTTTCGGGGGCGAAATTCCATCCGAAGATTTGTTCGGCCAGTACTGTGTAAGGCACTTCACGCCTATAAAGCCTTTTTGCTCATGGGACCTGGCATTGGGTCACAAGCATCATGAGCTCGACCTTTTGCCGCCGTTGCCTTGTTGGCCAGATTTGGAAGATGTACCAGTACCAGATCCCTATTTCCGCTTGCTATCGTACCACGGCCCTTCAAAAGGTAGCCCCCCCAAAAAAAGGTTGGACTCCAGCCAAGACACCCACGGGAGGCTTAATGTAGACTGTTGATGAATAAAGCCCTCCAAACTTGGAGATTTAAGTCCCCATTCATCAACAGTTAACATCGACATGTTTGACATGAGCGTAAAACAGTAAATCAACATCTACTTGGGATACTTAAGGGATGGTTTTTCCCCAAGGGAAAGGCCATCCCTTAAATATGGTGTAGTTATGGTGTAGTATATAGTATAATATTACTATATGACTATATTATATACTATACATAATTATACATACATTTACTCCATTTGGAAGTCTGACCCATCCATGTATGATCAGCTTATACAGCCAGCGTCCCCGTCCCATGGACTGGTCGATGGTCTTCTTCTCCGCTCCCAGTCCCGGGACTCCGCCTCCAGCGACGACGGCGACGTGCCCAACGGCCAGCAGTTGGTCTTCTGGGGCGTGGAGCTCAGCCGAAGGGTGCGAAGGTCCAAACGAGCAGACCACGACTCCGGCGAGGGGAGGCACGAAGCGACGACGGCGAGCTCATCAGGTTCAGGACCTGGAGCCGACTGGCTGGCACCCACCCGCAGTCCCAGCTTCGAAAGGAAGGTATGACTGGAGCCCAAACCGGAAGATGTGGCTATAAGGTTGGAAAGTGTCCCAGGAGAATGATCACAAAGGATGGCTCAAACGGAAGAAGTGGAGGACCTGTGGCCATGGGCGGAGAAAGTGTTGAAAGACTCGATCACAGTGCAGGAGCAAGGACGCTACTAGGGGCTCCTGGCCGTACTATTAGGAGCAAGAAGCTACGTACGGAACTAGTAACAAGAAGCTACTATGTTTCAAGGTGGCTTTCACCTGCCTCTTTCGACACTGAGAACCGAGATCCTTTCCGGTGATCGAGAACCCTTCTCAGTCCAGCAGACGGAAAAAAGACCACTCAGCTCTCGGTGTAGACGTTGCAACTTGCAGACCCATATCAGATCCCAGACTAATGGGACTGCCATATATGCCGATCAGTTGGGGTGGTTTGAGGGGTCAATTGATCGGCATATATGGCAGTCCCATTAGTCGTGTCTGGGTATCCACCAGGACCATCCTGTTTGGGTGTGGCTGGAGATCCTGCCATGACACCCAGATGGTCAGATGGTACACCGAGCGCCGGCGCCGCTGAGGCGGTCTCTTCGGCATGATCACCGTGCCGGTCTTCACGGCCATCACCCAGTGCCCAGCCTGGAGTGGCATGATGCTGGTCCTGGGCAACTCGGCTGAGAGGTCGGCTGAGACCTTGGTGAAGCAACGCCCATTTGTTTGCAGAACAGGTACTATCCAGGGAGATGTTTTGGGTGCAAAGCAATGGAAAGCATGCCTTTTCCTTTTTTTGTGGAGGTATGCCGGCTGATTGATGGTATTTGATGGGGGAGAGGAGGCATCGTTTCTAAATTTCTGTTCGAGATGGAGATGGGCTGAGCTTTCCGGACTGGTTGTGGCTGGGCTAGGGGGTGAGGACAGCAGGTTGTGCAAGTTCACTGATTCAACGTTCATTGGACGCTTCAACATTTCAACAGCCAGGCTCAGGGCAAGTTGTCAGAAAAGATGTTGCAACATGTTGCAACAGTAAGGGACTAAATAGTGCAGTACATATCAGTACTACATGATTGTCAGTGACACTTTGGTGCAGGCTCGGGGGCTTTGTTGCGGTGTGGTCCTCCACGCGGTTGTTGAAACCCGCCGCAACGCCGACGCTCCGCCTACGCAACCCGCGCTGCCAGGTCTTTTGGGCTTGATCACGAGTTTGCTCCATGGCCCAGAGGATGAGAAGTACTCCCTCAAGGGTGCGCTCACCCGGGTGGAGGTGCACCGGCCATCCGCGTCACCGCGTCCGGATGATCGAGTCGGGCGAGTCGGGCGCGGAACGCTTAGCGCGAGACGGGGCGTCAGCGACTTGTATGGGGGTGTCCATGGATACAGCATGGATACTACGATGCAAACACCAATTTATGAGCCCCTACTTTTGGTAATTTCCAGGCCCATGGTTACCATGTGGGTGCATAAATAGATGTCACTCGACTCACACTACCTCGGCATTGAATCAGGAGACCTCATCTGACAGACATGGCCACCGGCCCACTGACAGACAGGTGCCAGATGCCTTGTTCTTCTTGGGTGTGCTTTTTGCCGTGGGCGGATTGGAGCGTGTTGGCCGCCTGGATGGGAAGTTCACCCGTGCTGGGCCGCTTCTGTTTGGCTCATAGTATGGCGAGGTGTTGAAAGGGCAGATAGATGATGCGAGGTGTTGGGTGAGCTTTTGGCTCGGTTCTTCGAGAGTGCTGTTCCTGTCTGAACAGATCAGCTTCCGTGACATCGGAAAAGCCAAGTCGAGGCTTCGATTCGTTCGATTCCTGGGAGGCTTCTAGTGGGGTTTGCCTCTGAGTTTGGGTTGCCTCAAACAATCCTCAAAGTGTGCGTCATACAAACCAACACGTGATATCGCAGCATGCACACAACCGTTGCCACCTGAATGTTTCGGCAGCCGTTTGGCCGTTTGGAGGTGTCCGCCACACCCAATAATCCCGTGCTTTTGTAGAAACACTGTTTCTGTAACATCTCTTAAACATGTCTTGAAGAAGTAATTACAAGAGCCGTTTCTTTATGTTTCTTTAAACGTTACTTAAGAATCTCTTGAAGAAGCTTTCCTCCCAAAAACGATTGAAAGCTTTTCCAAGGCCTTCTGAAGGAGTTCGCCATCCAACTGAGCTCCCTGGTGCCTTGGCCGTCCAACGTCTCCAACGGACGCGTGTCCAAACGCCGAGAGAAATGGATGGTAGACTGGTAGACCCAACCATCCAGCATAAGCCTTCCCTAGGGATCCAAGTACCTTCTCAGGTAAGGTGATTGGAGGCACTGTTATGTAGGTGCCAGGAGGGTCCAGTCGTACCTTCTGAGAAGGTACTTGGATCCCTAGGGCTTATACCTGGACCTTCATTTCGGGGTGTCCTGGCTCAAGGTCCCGAATGGTAGTGGGCCTTCCAGCTAGGTGACCCCGACATGAAGGTCCAGGTAAGCTTCAAGCATTTTTAAGCCAACCAGCACCCGTACCCATCAAGGGACTGATTTTTTGGAGCAAGATGGGTTCTAGTCCGCAAGTGCACGGTCCAGCATCACCGATGGTTCTACCAGGTGGCCCTGGCCGTAGCTTGTGTGGCAAAGGAGGAGGAATACCATGTAAAATCCGGATTCCTTTGGCCCTGTTCTCGAGACAATGGAGAAGATATAGATCCTGTTCGGGGAGCAGGTGCAATCCTTTTCAGCAAACCTGTTGACAACTTGAACAAAAGGCAGTAGCCAACTTAATCTTTGGCAGTTTGTTTGAATTATATATAATTATTAGTTGTGACAGCCATAGGGCCAGTATATAAACGTGGCATCAGTGCTCTAAAGTCCACCACACAATTACGCAATTGGATCATGGAACACAATGGAACATGATGGAACATCATCATGTTTTGATATGTTTTGCTTTACTTTTTAAGGTCATGCTGTGCTTGGCACATGTTGATGCAAATCCATTTCTGCAGTGGCTTCTAAGCAATCAGCATCAACCAATTCCGCATCAGTGAAATCAGATTACAATCAACAAGAATCGTTCCAGCATGCCAGCATCCTCCCATCCATCAATCCATTTATTTGATAAAGATTTGTGTGTTCTCAATGCAACCCTATGTATACAACTGCGACAAGTTCAGAACAGATGGATGAGCTTCACCCGATCACCTTAAGCTCCAGAACTCTATCAGGTGCCCTATGACGCCTTGGTCGCCATCTTCTTGGGCTTCGCTTCCGCGGTCGTGGACAACGTGCCGCTGGTGGCTGCAGCGCAGGGCATGTGCCTTGGAAGGTCGAACTCTTGCCACGTCTTGGGGGCCTTTGAAGTGCCGGCATTGCAAAGATGTAGGATGAAGTAGGTGATGTTTGTTTCAGAACCTTTCAGGAAACTCACACACTACAGACTTGTGGATGCAAATGTATCTATTATAGATCTCCAATAATCTCCAATATAGAAATAAGTCATTTCAGACTTGTTTTTTCAACCAGAACTTCAGCTTTACCCCGGCTGTCCCGGCGCTCCCGCTGCTCGCACCCAGCTGCTTCACTCGCCCGAGCTCTTCCCGAGCTCCAGAGCTCTTCACTCGCCCCCAGCGAGGTACGACTTGGGCGCTCACCCGGCCAACGACGGCCTGTGGAACCTCATCACCTACTGCGCGGCCACCGGCGGTTCGCTGCTGGTGATCGGTTCCGCGGCCGGCGTGGCCTTCATGGGCTTCTGGGTGGCATGGGGCCCAAAGGCGTGGAATGGGGCCCAATTGGGTGCACTGACCGTGTGAGAGAGAGGCGGTCGACGTAGAATGGGGTCTCTACCACGTAGAATGATCACCCGGATCAGGCAGTGCGAGTCCATGTTGCAATAATCTGTAAAGGGAGTCCTTCCTATTGCAGTTGGATGTTTGAGAGGGAAAGAATGCCAGAGCCATTAGTCCAATCAGGCTTTTCTCGTCGCGCGCTAGACCGCTAGGCTCGTGATTATTGTTTTGATTGGGGAGAGCTTGGTCCCAACTCTTGATCACTTTTGAGTCGTCATGATCCAGATCTAGCAGCAATGGTCTCTTGAGATCCGCACAAGAGACAGAGATCCGCACCGAGGAATGGAGCGGAATGTCTCTTTTGGCTGGTACGTCAAGAGCATTGGCCCTGTCCCTTGGAGCGTGGTCGGATGCGGCCTGATCACTCTCGGCGAGCGAACGGGCGATGGAGGTGAGGTGAGAGGTCCGTGCATGGGGTCGGGGGGTGAGTACAGTAGGTCCGTGCATGGTGGTGAGTACGGTAGGTCCGTGCATGGAAAAATGGAAGGTGGTTGCCTAAGTGGCTCATTTGGGCACCCTCCGTGGACGTTGGGTGCTTGAACTTTTGATAGCTTTTGCCCACCCAAGAGTCAGGTGATTTTGGTGGAAAACACCCACATTGGCAGGTGGAGCACTTGATTGTTTTCCAAGGGGCCAATGACCACTACCCGCCAAAATTCCTTCTATCAGGCCCTCCCACTCTTCACATGTCCAGGCGTCTTTTCGTCCCAAAACTACATATGCTCAGCCTCAGCCTGCAGCATCCGACCATCCGACGACGAGCGTGGCCGAGGCAGCCCTGGCCGGCTACTTCTTGGGCGTAGGTGGCATCCTGGCGCAGCAGTCCTTGGGACTCAGCATCGCCGGATGAACCTCTGAGCGAGCGTTTTTCGGACCGGGGGCCGCAGGAGTGAGCTTTCCGGTGACCACGGGAATGGAACAAGGGGACCGGTGAAAGACATGACTGGTGCGAACACATCCACATGAGTTTGGGACGGGAAGGTTCATAAATTGACATGTTTTGGAAGCAGCTTAATTAAGGGAAACACCAGGACATCAACTAGTTCGATTCAAAGTGCTGGCACCTCCTTGTGACCGTTCTGCTTTTCATGCAGCAGTAGATTGGCCCTATGACAGATAGCTCAACAAAAGATATCTAAGGATTGTGGGAATATATAAATCATTGAACCTGATTGATTTCCTTGAAACTTTATGCACCTACCATCATGTACCTGTTCACAAGATTTAGCTTGTCACAACCCAAGATGTCTATGACTCTTCAAGGGCCGCGGCTTCTTTTTGGCCCATGTTTTCAATCTAGCATGCCGGTCCCCACCCGTAGCGCCTGTGACGCAGTTCTCCAACACCATGGTGGGCTCCACCAGAGAAGCCAGGTGGTCATTGCACGATATGAACTGGCCAATTTTCACCGGTGAACTGGACCTTTGGTCACACCATTTCGACATGAATCATTGGGCCCAGTATAGCCCAACACTTCAGAATCCGTCATTTGCTCCCCGTTCGTACTGTATGACAAAAGAACATGATAGCCGATAACAACATCCCTCGCCGGCTGGATCCTTTTCGCGCATTTCGAGCCAGTTCGTGGCCGATGAAACACTCGCTGTGTTCCTTTTCGATTAAAAAGCGCGGCTGCAAGTGGCCAAGTGATGCTGGACAGTTGATACGGATTCTTGTTGCCGAGGCTGCAAGGGATTTTGGATTTGATGTTCCATCTAAGGTGTCTAGAGAGGCATTTTGAAAAATAAAGAAATGCGCCGTTCCAGCGCCTGAAGCCCTCAAGAAACTGAACCCACGCATTCTGCATAGACCCCAAGATAGGACGATTGGGGCAGTTGACTTCCGAGGTCCATGGGTGGCCTAGGAATTTGGAGCTGTCAGGAACAGTCACCATGCCAATACAGTGCACGGTGTGGAACCTCCATCCATCTCAAATGACAGGCACCCAGTAGTCTCAAGTATATATGCATGTTAATCTGTTCTTTTCAATCTAGATCAGTTTAAAGAGCTATCTTGGTCTTGGCTCAGGCAAACCAGAGATTTTGGCTTTGGTCTATACAATGTTGTCATGCTTTCTTGTTCAAAAGTTGTTGCATGGTATCATCATCATTTACCTGGAACCTGGAACATAACCTTGTGTCTATATGCAAAAATGACCTTGTTTTGGCTCCAATAGATTCAGGTCGTTACAGGAGTCTATAGATCAAGCCAATCCGCAGCTACCCCACTGAAAACTAACATAGACCCTGAACATCACTGGTTTGTAGAGGAAAATAGTCTTTGAGGGTGCCATTTGACCTGGGTCCATGATAGTCCATGTCATTGTTCCATGTTCGTCTTGATCGTCCCGCGAGGCCGAGGAGCTGAATGCGCTTCAGTCGGCCACAGAGGATGCTTTGGCCTGCCAGGCACGCTTAGCTCCGCGGCAGCAGGGAAGGTCAGGGAAGAGTTGATGCTTTGAGGCAACTCGTCCAGAAGTTGACTTCTTAAATTCAGTTATATTTTGGATATAGGATGAGGTGGTCACCGGGCGAGTCTTAGGATGTGAAATATTCCGTGGCATTCGCACGTGAGGTGGTCCTCGTGCCATAACCCTTGAGTTATTGTGCATAATATATATATATACCTAGCGCTTCCAATGGTGACCTATAAGCAGTGTAGGGTTGTCCATTGGTAACCCCTTGGAAGCAGCTGGTATGTATTTATATAAATATAACCATAATACTATTTCAATGTTGATGAAATATGATCATCGTGTGCGCTCCCCATGTTGAGACTCCGTTGTTGTTTCTGCCCAATTTCGCAGCCTGAACAGAAAACCCAGGTGGAAAGCTTCAGAAGGAAAGTGTTTTTCCTTCCAACCCGCTGGGCTTCTACAGACTGATGTGGACTTGTTTGGGGACGTCCGCTGCACCAGTCCGCTGGGACCTTCTCCCAGGTCTTCTGCAAGTTGGTGAACCATCTCTTGCGGGACGATGGCGTGCATGCGCTGGTGAGGCCGTGTGAATGGGCACATGCCACGGAACGTGTGAAAGGGCACATGGCACAGGCAAAGACTTGTTTGTAGTGGGCTCTGAGGGTGAGTCCTCCACCTTCAAGAGGGCTTCCAAGATGGAGTTGGGACCATGGCGCACGTGGCTAAGAGTGTATCAAGATCTGATCTGCTTTGAACGTTTCGGCTGGTATTCCCTGTGAGATCCTGTGAGGAGTTCTTACTCCTGTGAACGGAGGTTTTTGCAGGTTGTAGGCTTGTCTTTGCTTGTCTCCCGTTGTGCTGCGTTGCTACGTCTTCGGCTGTGGGTTGCTTGGGTCGCCATTTGTTCGACGTCTCCGCTTGTCTCCGATGGTCTAGCTGTCGAAGCACAAGAGTGTCTAGCGGCCTAGCTGTCCCGCAACAGGAATTTCTGATGTTTCTTCTGTCATGTCTTTTCCTTTGGGTTCTGCACTGGATGTGTTTACTTCAAGCACGGAGTACGCCAGAATTTCTTGTGCGGTTGGTCTCAAATATCATGCCCCAATCCCCCCAAAGAAGACTGGGCCTGGGTATGCACGGGTCATTTAACGTCAGTCATCCTTTTAGTGGATCCGGCACAAAGCCTGAGAAGCTGTAAAAGGGGTGGATTCAGATGTTGAATCCCATCAAGGAACATCAGCTTTTCATCCACCATGTGCCAAATCCTGCGTTCCTGCGGCGTGGATGGTCTTGGCTCCAAACCTGGGTGGGTGCAGCTTCACCCACGATGGACATCACGGACCAAACGTGCAGGTCACATGCCATGGCATTGGTGCAAATGGTGGAGGAGGCGAGTCCTGGAGAGTCCGGGTTCGTCACGAGTGCGGTGAGGTGTGACATGCCCTGCGGAGTCGGGGGTCGGGGTGTAGACTTTAGGGGGAGGTCTTTGGACCGCGAAAAGCGCTCAGATGTACATAGGAAGACATGCTAGAGAACATTTGAAGAGTACTTGGGGTGCGGACGCTACTCAGCGCATGGGCACAAAACGTTGGAAATTAGACATGTGGCAACCAATTGAGCGCCCTTGGGCCCTTGTGCTGCATTGAAACATCGTCACGGCTAGTAGGTGAACTTGTGTGAAATGCTCAGAGGCATTGACGTCTTGAATAAAGAGCTGTGTCTTAAAAACTTACTTTGATCTAGAAGCATCCTAGACCTTTTTGTGGAGTCAACCCAATCCAGTAGATTAGCAGAGCTGTATTCGCAATGAGAGGACCCCCTTGCAGGATGCAGATTTGGTGGAATCTTCTGATCCCGAGCTAGGTAGGTTGCCCATGGCCACCTCCCAGTTCTTCCACCGCCTCTCCAGCCCAGCTCGTTGGTAGAAGTTTTTGAGACGTAACCAGTACTGCAGCCAGTACTGCAACCATATTTGGATTGCTTTCCAGCACCTTCAAAGGGGTCGCCTGGCTGGAAGCACCAACACTACCATCCGGGATCTCCGGCCAGGACACCCCGAAATGAAGGTCCACGTTGATTTGTTTCTAGACTTGGCATTTGTGCTCCTTACCTCGGCCCCCGAGCCCAGGTGCTCGCTGGGCTCAAGGAGACCTCGGTCACCCAGTTGGCCCAGGCGACGAAGAACGGAAGAACCGCCCCAGCGGGTGCAGACTGAATCTATTTGACTCATGGAGCGAATGTAGACTGTTGATGGGCAGCTTGAAAAAAAGAAACCACTTGATTTGGAGCCTGGAGATGTAGAACCAGTTTGGCAGGGGTGTGTTCCACACCAACAGTCTACATCAAAGGGGGTGCCTCCCCACGGACGAAGTATAAACAAGAAAAAGAGCGCCGGGAAGACGGTCCATGTTTATCCAGAGGGCAGGGGCTTCCAACATGTTAATTTGCCTTTGGATGCCTTTTGATTTGTTTGGTGAAGGCCTGCCCTGGTATGGGGAGTTTACCTGTACATATCAATGTGCCCAGAAAAGATCACACAGCAACGCCTGCGGAGACCAACTTCAACCAGACGGGTCCGGGTCCAAGAGTGGTTATTGGAGAGTAGGGGCGCCCAAGGGGTAAGGGGCGCTCAAAAAAGAGAGAAAAAACAATACCACTGGCCGGATTTAAAAGATCATGTCCATTTGACCCTCTTTCCCCTACCTACCACTTCCTATGCTTGCCCAAGAGAGGGCCATCCAGACATCCCCATTCCAATTCCAACGTGAATTCCAGCATGTCCTGACTCCAGGCGCACTGGACCCTGGCTCTCGAGGCGCTTAAAGCCAAGCGCCGTGCCGCGGCACCGGGGCCGAGCGGTGGCATCACGCTGAGCCTGGGGAAAAGGGACCGCGGCGGTGGTTTCAGCGGAGGGGAGAGAGTTTGGACGCCTGCCTTTTATTTCGTCAGTGCAGCCAACCAGTTTGACCAAACATTTCAGAAATAGTTGGCACCACAGCAGTGGGGTAAAGTCAACTGCACCAGCAGTGGCACCACAGCAGGGCTGTCTTTCTGATCCATTCACTCAGGAGCTTCTGAACATCCAAGAGCCACCCCCAACACGGAACTCCAGGTGTTGGATTTTGCTTCTGTGGGGCTGCGGGTTGGAACCGGTCGAGGTGCTGTGAAGGATGGTGAAGGTCATAGCATTGAGGATAGGACATTTTGAAGGTTGAGCTGAATGCGCCACGGAGCAAAACTAGAAAACAAGTCGTAGTATAAATCTACATGGAACGCGGAACACATACTTATACAGCAATAGCTACGAAATAACACGCAATTCACATGCGGACGACAAGAAGGACCGAGCCCCCTGCAAACCATGTCTTAGAAGCAGTTGAACCGGGCCTGACAGCTTGGAACTTCGACCAAATCGATTCCAAAGTGAGACACTCACTGAGTAGAAAAAGATGGTTCAGGTGGAATCAGGTCATCAGTGAGTCCAGGTCAGTGAATGTCAGGTGGATCAATTTCAGGTGAATCAGTGAGTCTGACTCAGTGGATCACTCCATCAGGTCAGTCCAGGTCAGTGAGAGATTCGTCCGGGTCCACGACTGCGATGGAAAGGTGGTGCAAGCCAAGGGGGTTCGGAGGGTGAATAGAAACACGAGTGGCGAAGCGGCCAGCGAAGCTCATCTCGAGTTTTTGGGTCATCACCTGTTTCTGGAAGTTGAGCAACGCTTTTGCCAAGTGTTTGACCAGCTCACCCTTTTCCCAGACTTCTTTCACTGCCAGCTCCTGACACATTGCATCAGCAGCGTGTTGACCAAACGATTGAACTTACGTGTGCTTATGACAATCGCAGGCATTCATGGATTTCCAACAACTATCGAGCCACCGGAATGCCACTGGATGCCACTGCTTTCGGTGTATCATGTTCACACCTCCATCGCGTTTTCTTTGTGGGGACTCAGAGGGCAGCCAGCTTGGGAGGTGTAGCAATTAGGATTTGGAATGATTTGGAGTTGCCAGGAGTCATGGGTGGAAATGTAAATGCTTGTGACTCCTTCATTTCACCAGCTTCACAGATTGACTGGGATTGAGATTGCAAGCACGTTGGCTGCAGCTGTTTTTATCAATTTTGTTTGGTTTAAGTTTGAGAAGACATTCCAGCTTGGCCTTCAACAAGCGCCAGTACCAGACCAGCCAACAACAACAAGAAGAAGAAGAGGCATACAATACGTTGCTGACATGTAGTTTCGCGTCAGCCCCACATGCGACCCCCAGATGGGCCCATATAGTGGTCCAAGTGGCTCGAGTCTTCAAATAACACATCAAAAACAAGAACATACCAGCACCTCCCTTAAGGGGGCCTCAACTGGAATACCCTCCGCTACGCACGTGGATCTCCAAACTGGATCGCCCTTTCTGAAGGTCCAGGTAGATAGATATGTCGGCTCAACTTGGAACTGAATTGAGGGCATCACAGCTTGGGCATCACTATATCACGCACAGTCAGTTTAAGCCAGGTACAGCTTAAGAAAAAACACCAGCCACCAGCCATGCATGGTGACGAGCCAGGCCAGGAAAAAAACACTTGAGCTCTTTAGAATCGCATGCGTTTTCCACGACGAAGTTTCGAACGCCCTTTAAATATGATTTTGTTGTTGCCTGCACATCGCCGGCGGCAAGGCCCATGCCTAGGGGACTCCTAGGCTGGGTGGGAGGGGTTCCGCAGGGCGTCGAACCCACACACGCAGGGAGTTCGAACCCGCGCAACGGGTCGTAGGGTTGTGAGGAAAAACGACTTTGGGGGCTAGAGGATTGAAAGGATCCAAGGCATTCAACGTTTCCACCTGCAAGTTTCAGTCGAAGGTGATGTGGCAACTGCTTCGATCGGTGGGCCTGGTTGCAATTCTAGTGGAAGTGGCAGCCACTGACGCGGACGGTTCAAGAGAAGCCACTGACGCGGACGGTTCCCCCATCATATTTGTGGGCCATTACTCGGCCATTATGTCATAAGGACTGAAACGTTTGAGAGCAAGCAGGGAGTTCGATCCCGCGCAACGGGTCGTAGGGCCTAGCGCCCTTTGTCCAAGAAATCCATAGAAATCCCAATCACGTGGACACAAAGCCCCGTGGAAGACAACAGAAAAAGCTTCATGATAGTGTCCTAGGAAGACATGTTTCCCGCCAAGGCATGTGACTGATGTGACCTTTACCCTCCTGCCAGGCGCTCGCTCCATTGCGGCCCGATTTGAAGCGGCGCCTGGGAAGAATACGAGCGGGGGAAGTTGGAGCGAGGCAAAGGAGCGAAGGACATGAAGACTTGAACAGTGACGCTTGGTATTACACTCCTTGAAATCAGAGCATCCGTGCTACTACTAGTCATGCCTTTGCTACTAGTAGCTTCTTGCTACTAGTAGCGATGGCCTCCACCTAGTAGCTTCCTTGTTACTAGTAGCATCCTCTTGCTACTAGTGAAACAGTTCTGCCATGTTCAGCCCCCTGGGTCAGACGATTTTCCTCTACAAAGGGGCCTTGGCTCCGCTTCCATGGCCTGAGAAAAGGGATCGGACTCACGATGCCCAGGCGAAGAAGGAACCCGAGGACAAGCGGCTTGGGAGCAAGGAGCGAGCTGGAAACACCTGGACCCTTCTTAAACGAACCAGGACAGATGGACATCAACCCATGGAGCCGGCCAGTACACACCCTGGAGCCGGCCCACGCTTGTCTCAGCACGCTGGTGCCCTCGGAGTCTGAAAGGGGAGGTCGAACGGATCCAACGAGACCACAGGTGACCTACGTCATCCTCAAGCAGATGAGTTCGTTGAATGCCGCATTGTGAGATTGAGATTCCCGTTTGGGCTCCAGTCGTACCTCCTCAGGTTCGGTATGACTGGACCCTCTAAACCGACCCCAGTCCCACCTTCTTAGAAGTACTTGGAGCCGGAGCCCTAGGGATTGATCATATGTTCCTGGCCCAAGTGCTTGGAGGATTGCACCCTTCGGATGAAAAAGAAATGGCACTGTCATTTTCAAATGTTTTGCCATAGTGTGTCATCTACGAGGCTGAACAGGTCTAAGGCTTCAAAGCTGTAAAAGACATATCAATTCCCACTCCGTTGAGCAGTGGTCATACCTTTAGAGACCTGACCCCCTACCACATGTGATCACCGTTTGATCCTGGTGCGAAGTAGATCATGTACAGTAGCACCTCACACGCACTCCCCGCCAGCAACTCGGTTTTTTGTTCCGCTTCCAGGGCCGGTGAGTGAGAGTCTTTGTCTTCCAGGTCCCGAGATGGAAGAATACCATAAGACTTCATAAGACAAGGACTCAGTGGTCCACATCTCAGGTGGTTGAATTTCATGGACACCCCTTCTATTTGCTCGTGGCGCTACGCATAGACAGCCCATGTACCCTCTATGCCCATCCCATAGGGCTCCTGAACACTGAGGTCCGGCAAGGACACCGAGGTCGGATGGACTTGGCATGATGAGGACGGCTGGACCGATTCCGGTGCAGAATCCGGCGTCGTGGTGCTGTTATACACCCAAGACTATAGACGGAATATGATGGAACGTACGTAGATCTCTCAGAATTCTATTACAAAATAGTTTTCGGCAACATGTTTCTTACGTACTCATTCCATCTCATTCCATCCACTTAAGCAGGCTGACTTTGTGATGGGCATCTCAACATTCTCAAGCCAGTAGGCCTTGCAGCTCCTCCAGGAGGGCTCCCGTCCAGTGTTGCTCCCTTCCACTCTGAAGGGCAACTTTGAAGATGGCGTGACTTGGCTTGGCGCGACCGGCTTCGTGTCGAATGATGGCAGAATTTGCGATTTTGGAGTTGGGATGCTGATTTGGCAGGATTTGGGCTATTGGAGCTGAGGGTTATGATGACATAGACACCTCATGTATTCGATACATTAATGCCCACATGGACCCTTGAAACCACCCCTGATCCAAAATGCCATACAGGAAGTTGTTGGGTTTCGGATTGAACCACATCTTCCTCGGATATTGTATGAATATACCGGACCAGTGACATGTTGGAGACACAGGCTCACCCGAGCATTTGGTCCACTTGAATCCATTTGAGATCCAGCACCCCGGGTACTGGACACAAACAGCGCTGAATATAATATACATTCCCTAGGGATCCAAGTACCTTCTCAGGTGCGGTGATTGGAGGCACTGTTATGTAGGTGCCAGGAGGGTCCAGTCGTACCTTCTGAGAAGGTACTTGGATCCCTAGGGATTGACCTCCAGGCCCCAGGCCTTAAATGGTTGCCCCTGTTTCCGGCGGAACCTCGCGCACCGACCCACAGCGGAGAAGACCGACCTGGCGCTCTGACCGGGGCGCCTTCGGACCGGTGATGAACGGGAAGGCACTGATCCGGGTGAAGTTTGCGGAGAAGCCGGAGCTTCCGCCCCGAGCTCGGAGGGAACTGGGGGTTTTGGTCGGAGGGTCCAGGGGTGTTGGGTCGGGAATGGGTTTGGAGGTGCCAGGACCATCATGTTTGGGTGTCCTGTTTGGAGATTTCCCTGAGTATAGTGTGGAGTGATCCAGCCCAGGACATCCCAGGACCTAGTAGTCAGTAGTGTCGCGGGGTAGTCCAGCAGCACACCCAGATGGTCCGCGTACGACTAGACCACCAATGGAGTGTATGTGGTTGGTAGCCTTGTGAACACCAGGACACGCCGTTGACTGGTTACAGCCGCCAGGCGGCTGCAACCAAACGGCTGCGGCCGGCGGCTATCGGTCTTTCGGCCCCCGGCATACCTAGATCTTCCTTATGCCAAATGTCTGCCTTTTGGCCATATAAGCCAAAAGGCAGACATTTGGCATAGTTGGAAGACCCAGGTATTTGCCGATCAGTTGGGGTGGTGCCAGGAGGGTCAATTGATCAGCATATATTCCAATCCCATGGATGGTCTGGGATGGGTACGGTAGAGACCCCCTGAAAATTCATCCCTGTACATTCACGGCTCGATCAGGAGACTTAACTGGAACCCCCTCAGATTTCGGGGTCTTTCCGGGCCATCAATCAGTCTTAAGGAAACGCTATAGACATCCTCCCATGAGTCAAGAACCTTTTGTTGCTTATATGTTTCACTTTACATATGACGAGTCTTTACATGGCTTTGCAATCCATGTTTGGGAGAGTTCCCATTAAATCACTTCTATACATCTATAGCAGAAGTGCAGGGTGTCCCTCCTGCTTGGTGCTGAGGTTCTTCATTCGCGCGAATGCAGAGTACTACTCCGACCGTCTGAAGACTGGGCGGCTAGGAGCAGGATTGGGTCCACTTGAAGGAGGAGGGTGTTCAACAAAGAGAGGTTAAGTGACCTTATGGGACCCTACTGGGGTACCAGACTGGGATAGTCTAGTTCGGGTCCCTCAACCTCTGTTGGAAAGGAGGTGGCCACTTCTTGGTGCGTCCCCGCCCAGAGAAGTGACTCATAACCCGGCCGGGAGAGCTGAACTTAGGATTCTTGACCCGGTCCAGGGATGTGGTGCTGCGTTTTGCTTGCTGTGAAGCTGTGCATAGACCTGTGGTGGGCCCTCGGCTCGGAACCATGATGAAACCATACCCAGACGCTGCGTTTTGCTTGCCATATATGCCGATCAATTGACCCCCCAAACCACCCCAACTGATCGGCAAATATACCATACATGGAGTGTCTGGGATATAAGGCGCCTCACCTCCCCACTCAGGAACATCTCCATCACCAAGTCCATCCTCAATGCAGCGACTCGGCGCGTGGGACGTGGGACCGACCGATTGGAGGGCGGCCACCGATTGGAGCCAGCTGGGCTGGTTTGGGTGTGACTCCTGAGCCTATCCCTGAAGCACAGGAGTTCGTCCGATCCCGGTGGAGGCAAAAACCGAAGTTAGCAGGTTACGTGTGGTTCCAAGAATAGACTCCATAGGCCTCGAAACCTTGGGTTTCTTGATACCAGGAACCCGAACACGGGGGTGTCTGTTATAAATGGCCCGATGTGATATAAGATGAATAAAGATGATATATGGGGTGTCCAAAAACTATCCGTTGGAAGGTCCTGGTAGTGGCCGATCCATTGATATCCATTGAGAATGTTAGCTTGGACCTGAGGCGGGTGTGCCTGGGAATGAGAAGCGTGCCAAGCTGGAAGTGGTGGAGGAAGGGGTGCGGAACCCCAGAGATCAAGCGGAGTTCGGATGGACAACTGGATGTACAGAGCTTGGCTCCGGAATCAGAGCACAGACCGGCGCGCAGAGACACGCACAACGTCCCTCCGTCAGCATTAATCAGGGCTTCCAGAGACCTGCAGTGTGGTGGCCTCTAGATCTCTTTAGTCCTTCCGGTGGATCTTTGCTTCCCGTCCCGTCCTCCCCTCAGTCTTCTTCAGGCAGCTGCATTGAAGCGAATGGTCATGGTCATTGGTGACATTTTCCTCTCGAAGCGTTGGGGCCTCGACGCGAACGTCGAGCGCGTGGCGCGTTCGACGCAACGTGGCGGCCGTGGCGCTGGGAGTCTTGGTGAATGGCCAAAAGCAGAGCTGCCTGACCCTCCAAAGATGTTCTTGTATGAGACAGAAGTGAGCTCGACTGACAGTTAGTTTTAGTTCAACTGCTGGCAAACCAGCGGTTTGCCCAAGCCCTTTGCAAACCAGCGAAGGTGACTTGTGGCACATGCAGCTGGCCATGATGCAGCGAAGGCCGCCCAATGACGCACTGTGTGTGCAAGTGACCGAAAAGCATACCAGCTCACTTGAGGACCATGAAAGGAAGCACAAGGTGTGCTTCTTTACTTTTTGTTGCGGGAGAAGCACGCAGGTTGTATGCTTTGAACAAGGTTGGATTGCCATGGACCAACTTACCAAGCTTTTAAAGTGACTGTTGCCAACAAAGGCGCACCCGGATGGTACAAGCAGAGTTGGAAGACCATTGCTTTTTGAGGTGCACCAACAGCGGAATCGGATGACACTGACCCAAGTTCTCCACAGAACTCCCAGTTCTGTTTGGAACATCGAAGGCATCTCTGACAGAACGAGCGCTAATTGGAGCAACCAACCTTGGGTGCTTAATGCATGGCTGGGACAGTCCAGCTGGCAATTCCCACAGTTCCCCATCGATTCCCCAGCAAAGGGTGTGTTCCCATTCCGTGAGCGGCTGCTAGCTCTTGCAAATGTATAGGCTTTGGAAAAGCGCAAAATTGCGCCCACATGAAAATCCCTCATGCGACGGTTCCGATCTTGTTTGCATTGGGGAAACCGCCCGCCCCACCCCACACACCGGTGCGGTGGGCTGGAGGGGCCGCATCATCTACTGTGGCTACAGCCAGAACTTCTGCGAGCACGTACCCCGGAGCCACATTGTTCCTTGGTGGCAGGGTCCCAGGGTGCATTCCCAAGGTCCTTCTCTTAGTCTTCCTGTTTCCGGAATAGACCAGCTAGTACTCCGGTCAACTGGTCCACAAGGTTGCTTTGATGTTGCTTCTTCTTGGGCAACCGCTGGCCGTGACCAAGTTGAACACCATGTGAGACGACTGGCACCTCCCAAGGCCATTGAGATTCGATTCAAGGCCATGCAAAAAGTAAAAAAACATTGGCCCAATAATTGGTGCCCTTAGAACCGTCCCACTCTTCCCCTTCTTTCCGCCGGCCTTTGCGGAGAAGGCCCGACCCTTCGGAGCCCTTAAACGGTTTTTTTCGATGCTGTTCTCATTGGTTTCCCATCGGCCAGGGGGTTCTTATGGATTCCGGTGCTGGTCTTAATCGATGTGCCAAACCCCATCCTTTGCTTTTAAAAAGCCCGAAAATGCGTTTGTGAGAACATATGTCAGCCAAAATATCAACATGCGGTTAATATAGAATATCAGTGCGCATGTCAGAACATTTGCCACCAGGCATACCAGAGAACAACTCATGAGGGGAAAACGCTGGGTAAAATGCCAGTACATAACATATCTGCTAGACACATGCCAGCTCATATGGCAGGCATCATGCCAGCTCATTCGTCGGGATAGTTTGTCAGTATATACAGCGTATCTTTATTGTTCTTCTTCCAAATCACCTTGCAGAGTGGGGAACACTTGAAACACCCAAAGTCGTTCTACATGTATCATTTCCTTCCTGCGCATTCGCGCGCGCCCTGTGACAGGAGCAGCTGTTGGGTGCCGATGGGAAGCCCGTCTTCTGTGGGTCGGTGAGCATGAGGACAGAGGTGATCTTCAGGCGCGAATCAACATTTACGTGTTGATGTTCCTTTGTACATAGTATAGTAGAATTATTTTTGCAGAACATGCACCGGCAGAGGATTAGTTCCTTCAGTTGGCAGTTTTTTGAAGGCAAACAGTGGCAGCGTCAAGTTCATGTTCAACCAGGCTTCATATGTTGATCCCATCTTGTGGAACTGTTCTCACCCCCTGCCATCTCTCGTTTTTCACCGGACCTTGTCTTTTTCGCCATCCAGAAACCTTTCGACCATGAATGTCCATCCCATCAACCCTGTCAACATGCCACACACACCCAAAAATGTGGGCCTGGCAGCACTTGTCAAGTCAAGAAGTTTGAGTCATAGTCCGACCAATCAATGGCTTTGTCCTTGCTTCATGGCAAGCTTCATGCCTGTGAGACAGCTTGAGAGATCGGTTTCGTTCAGCCAGGTCCTCGAGCGCTCACATGTTCTTGCTCATCGAGGTCAGTGCTGAGCTGCTCCCTGACCTACGTTGGGCCCAGGTGGCGTCAGTGTTTCTGGGAATCTGGGAGGCAAAACACTCTGCCGAGTGGCTGGGCCAAACAAAAGATTTCACACTACTGCTACTTATATACTTATATATAGTATATTTGTGCCGGTAATGATGAATGATGAACTGAACAATGACATAATGATAAGTGTGTTTTGTTTGTGGACCGTCGGCCATCTTTTGGTGCTCAGTTCTCCTCAATCCATCACAAAGTCAGTTCTGATTCTAAATAGAAGCTTTAAGTATAAGTAGGATCTGGGCTGTTTCTCTAGATCTACTGCAAAGTGTCAGGGCAGGTATATACTGGTGTTTTAAATCAGGATGCCCTCACCCTTCATCCACCGCTGGCTTGCCTACGTTTCAAAAAGTTTCACCCTGGCATGTTACAGGACATGCTGAAGGACCTTGAAGATGTTCTAAATGTTCTGAGAGTTCATGGGGGGCCACCACCTCCTCCAAAAAGGCAGCAGGACTTGTTGAAGCAGAGCGCCAAACCTTTGGAAGTCCTTTTTTTGTGGGGTTGTGTTTAACGGATACATTTGGGGGGTATATATACAGAACGGGGGCTTCTGGGAGATGTTGTGCATGCAAACATGGGGCAAAAACACAGTGCTTTACAGATTTTACAGTGGTTTTTGGCTAAAACATCACCAAAACCTTGGTTTTCAGCTATTTTTCCCAAGCACGCCCGCTCTTTCTCTCTCTCTCTCTATATATATATATGGGTGGATGGCATGATCCTGTGGATGTTCATCGAAAGTGGTGGTGGAACCAGGTCACCTGTACCATTTCTGCTGTAGTGCTGTGCTTATCCACTGCAAATTGCTGTGTCTAGGGATTTGGTGCCTAATTTTTGTTCTGAAGCACCTGTGCAGTGCATACCTGGACCTCGGTGAGGAACTCCTTACTGGCACTGAGGTTTCAATATGGGCTCATGGGCCTTCCGTACTGGCAGATTCTATTGGATTGCCTAGGCGCGTGTGAGGGTTGCGCGTAGGTCTGAATGGCTTCCCGTTCCCACCTTCATCCCAAGTGGCGTGGCCCACCCACCACGGGGGGAAAGCGATTTCGGCATTGGGTGCCATGCAGCTCGACGAGTTCGCCCCGAGATCTTGGTGGAGATGGTTCGGGCCCTTCGGCTCCCGTGGTGAGAGTCGTACCCAGACACTCACCAGCTATAGGACTGTCAGTCCGGACTGCCGAGAAACGGCCAGGGGTGGTTGACTGGGGGTCTAATGTAGGCATATCTGGCAGTCCCACGTCGTGTCTGGGGTATAGTTCATCACTGGCTGATGACGGAATCCCAGTCGTGCCGTGGCTCAGGGTTGGGGGACGACTGGACCCGGCTGGCTGGCACCGGCAGTCAGAACAGTGTCGAACACATCACCTTCTCAGAGGGTACGTGGATCCCGAATCCTTTGTTGTTTGTCTCCCCTCTTCGGCTAATTGACTCATGGTGACCATTTGACAGTTCGGTGGATCAGGGAAATGATTCTTGACGATTCTTGACAGACAGAATGGGTCACAAATAAGTAAAGAAAGTCCTTTTCTTTCGTGGTTGTCCTTTCTTCGTGGTCTGCTGAGATGTTCGATTATTTTCGATGTGAATCGGCAAGGTAGGTGATGGTGTGTGTGTGTGTGATTTGTTGTGTGGCCATGTGTGGCCTTTGTGGCTGCAAAAATGGTCGACAACATTTGGCCCCAGCCCCAGCATACCGTTCGCACACCGTTTGTGTGCTGTTTTGGCCCATTGTCAACAACGGGCTCATGTTGCTTGTGAATAGCACATGCCCCAATTCATGCAGCAAGTGAGTATCCAAGACATTTCAATGACACCGCTACGCTTGTGGAGTTTAGAGATGTTTAGAGTTTGTCTTTTTTGGAGGTAACTTTCTGGTATACTACTGTGGTGGTATGTGATATCACTACCAACCCGAGCTTCACATCGCGGTCGCCGTAATGCCTGCACAGGGCAATGTATGGAGAGAGTCTGCAATGCATCGAGCAAAAAGATGAGCCACTTGCCATAGTTTCGCACTTTCTGGGCGCACGCATTGTGTCACTTCAGCGTCGGTCCTACTTTGTTAAGCCTCAGATCAGTCCTACGATAGACCGGGTCATTTGGATTGGGGTCCTGCTGGGCTTTTGGCCTACCTCCACTTCGAAGGCCTACCCTAGAGTCTCTAGGCTCTTAAAGGAGAGATGTTGCACTACTCGTGCAAAAGGGAGCCCACTTAGTCTGACTCCTGCAAGAATTATATAGCACTCAACAGAACAGAGAGAACAGGCGGTTTCTTCCTTCCAACTATCGAGGCTAAAGCATCTAAACCCTAGGGTTCCAGATACCTCAGAAGGTATTTGGACCCTCCTGGCACCCAGCCCCAGTCCCACCTTCTCAGAAGGTACGACTGGAGCCCTGGAGAAAGATATCTCAACCTGCACCCCCTCAGGTCACTACATCCGCCTGCTGCTCTTCGCGCGGCGGAAGCCGACCGTGGGCACCACGCCGGGCGACGGCACGTGCCGGGCGCCCACGGCCACGCGCAAGGAGTTCACCGCCTATGGACCGCCTGAGGATCATCAGGAGAGAGACCGGGGCTGCCACCCCCACCGATGCAAGTCGATCTGGGGTAGGTGGATCTTGGGGCCCAGTGGATCAATGATTGGTTGTTCATAGTTTGTTGTTGTTGTATCTGTTGACATGCCAGATTACCCAGGAAGTACGTTGATTACCTGCAAAACCTTGCTTTTGGGGTGGATTGCTTTTTGTCCACACCCAATTGAAAACACTAAATGCATCCAATGACCATGGCTTAAAACCCTTATATGGGGGATTGCTTTGTCTAAATGTGAGCAGATGGAAAGTTTGGTTCATTTTTGCGAGGGGTTTCACTTACAGTATACCACTAATTGCCACTGTTTCCAAAGACTCCAACCAACCTAAGGTCACCCTGGTTCCTTATGGTACCATGTGCTAACTGGGATCCTTTTCTGGGCGTTTTCACAGGACTTCTACGATGTGATCTTCGAGGGCTACGCCTCCGCCATGCCATCGCCACAAGAGCTGCGCAGCCGCGTCGCTTGGAGAGGCCTCAAGTCGAAGCTCCAACCGCCCCGGGGCGGCGGCCCAATATCCGGCGTTGGGAAGATAGAAGATAGAAGAAATATCGGCCTTGTTTGGTTTTAGTATGTTTTAGTCATGTGAATTCACTTGCTTGACACGGTTCTTGTTTTGGTTTCAAGATTGCGTTGTAGAAATACCAGGTGCCATGATCCATAGCTCTCAAATCTAGCAGAGAAACGGCGTCCACCTGACTGATTTGTTGTAGGGATGTCTTTGTTCTTTAAAATCAGGTTCCCAAAGTCCCCAACCACTCCATGGGCCCATATTTGCCGATCAGTTGGGGTGTTTGGGGGAGTCAGTGAAATCCTCTTCATATATGGCTAATACGATAGGGGGTTATTAATCAAGAGTCTACATTCCAGGATCATCCTGTCTGGGTGTCCTGGCGTTCGACTACCCTACCCCACGTAAACAGGTCTCCACTTCCGCACCCAAACAGGGAAGTGCATCCGCTTCATCGTTCTCGTCCATGGCCGCGGCTCCTTGGGCTCGCCGAACCAACCGGAGCTTCGTTCGTCCTGACGTGGTCCATGCGGCCGATGGGCGCCAGGAAGGAAACGAAGGAAAGGGGGAATGGCTGCCGGGCCGGGCCCGATGCAGTCAGTGGATCTCTTGCCAACCTTGTTGTTTTTTTTGTTGGCGAGGGGTTCCCACTGCAAGAATTCCAAGAGTGCGTCACGATCGAGCCGATCGGTCTAACCCCATTTTCGCCGCAGGGCCCTTGAGCTGTCAAAAGTGCGCGAGCGGCGCCTTTCCCCCTTTTTCCATGACGTGTGAATCCGTCTAGTTGCATTGGCAGCGGAGCACCGCGATCCTCGTGCTTTCGCTTTCTGCCATGCCGGCAGCTGCTGAGCTGTTTGGACCTCATGATGATGAGGAAGAACTACATGATGGACTTCCTGAAGGTGATCTTCCTACTTCAGCGGAGTTTGACTACCCTCACTTAGAGAGCCCTCTGGGTGAGGAAGGCGAGGAAGAAGAAGAGCTGTTGAGAGATGAGGAGCAGCAGTTGGAAGAACATGAACTACATCGTGGACGCCTTGGACGTAATGGACCGCGACAAGTTCATCGCCGAGATCCTGGTGGCAGCACTCCCAAGAAGAGCTCTACTTCACCATCGAGCCCTTCGAGAAGGCGACCTTCGTCTGGCAAGTCAGAGGCTGAAGACTCAGCCCCTCGCGGACGACCGCGAGGAAACCTTCCTCCAGCACCACCTTTCGATGGTGATCGCAAGAAGAACCCGAAGGTCTTCAAGCAGTGGCTCCAGAAGGTTGACAGCTATGTGGAGATCTCCAAGAAGATCATCGACGAGAGCGAGATCGGACTTCGGTTGCATAGCGCCTTGGAAGGTCAAGCGGCCGAGTACTTGGAGAACATCCCAGCTCGCACTTTCGGAGGCCCTGAAGGTTGGAAGGTCCTTCTGCAGGTGCTGCAGGAGAAGTTCGATGAGCGCAAGATGCACAAGATTGGAGGAGCACTTCGCGGCTTCTTCAAGATGAGCCTCACGGAGAAGAACACCACGCTCACCGAGATGTGTGATTTGCTGGATAAGTCCGCCCGCGCTTGCAGGGAAGCTGGTTTGCAGATCCCCGACGAGATCATGACCTACCAGTTCTTTGAGCAGGCTGGATGCACCATGGAGCGGCAAGCCAACATCCTCCTGAGGACAGGAGGAGACTATGAATGGCAAAAGGTCAAAGCTGCTGTTGACCTCCTCTACCCCCAGACCTATGTCAATCGCGGCCGAACGACCTATGACAAGCCGTCTGATGGTCGGAGCAGCTATGGCAAAGGCAGAACAGCACACGAGACGCAGGGCCATTGGGAGCCTGAAGTTTCCACTGAGGAAGTCGACCTCGAAGAGTGGATTGTCTCTGAGGACCCCATCGAGTCCCTCGCTGACGCAGAAGTTGAATATCTTCCTGAACCTCTAGCCCGTGAACTACATGAGGTGTTCGCCACCCACAGAGAGAACCGCCAGAAGCTTGCAGCGGCCGTGAAGGCCCGAGGTTTCTATCTCAAGTCCGGCAAGGGCAAAGGACGCTCTGGTGGAGGTGGCAAGGGCTACAGCAAGTCGAAGGGCAAGGGCAAGGACTCTACAAGGTCTTCATCGTCTTCACGATCTTCATCGCGACCCAAGGGCAAGGGCAAAGCCCGTGGCATGTCTTTGGATGAGCTGAAAGCCATTTCCACTTGTGGTGATTGTGGCGAACTTGGCCATTGGCGTGGAGATCCTCAATGCAAGCAGCCGAAGAAGGCTCATGAAGCTCACTTGGACTACGAGACCGAGGAGCCCCAGGAGAACGATGACGACTACTGGACTGAATGGCAGCCCGACTACGATGACAGTCACACTGGCCGGATGACCGGCGGAGGTGCGGAACGCAATGTTGCTGACACCTCGACTGACCGTGCTGCCTACCCCAAGTCCACAGAGTTCAACAGTGGCCGCAAGGCTACACCCACTTCGACGACTACCAAGGTTCAGAAGCCAGATGCCCCACTTCAGTCCCATGACGCCTATGAGGTCATCAAGGACTTGAACCGCATGAAGCGCAAGGCAACTGGTGACACTGGTACTACATCGAGACCCTCGTCTTCATCTTCGGTTTTGCTGGCCGCCAACGCGGAGGACAGGACCAAGCCGTTCGACGTCTTCACCGCGACCGCGGACGTGCAGAAGCAGATCGAGGAGAAGAGGTTGAAGGCCCGAGGCCATACTTCATCGGCTCCGGAAGCCATTCGTGAAGCACAAGAACGTTTGGGACTTCCGGTGATTGAGGAGGAACCTGGTTTTTGTGTTTGGGATCTTCTCAAACCGGTCCCCAAGACACCGCCCAAGGTTGACCTGGACAAGGTGAGAGTGGCCTTGGTGGTTTCGAGTGAACTTCATCCTGGACTTCCTGGACCCGACGAACCTCGACCTCATCACGTACCCACTCACCGTGGCCGCATTGAGTATGAGAAGGGCATCGAGAGCATCTACTCCCGCGACACCTCCACTCTCTCAGATGAGCAGTACGAGGAGAGGAGACGTTGTGGTGGTTTGGTGCATGGCGGAACCCGCAGGACCAGCCGCAAGACTTTGAGCCGGCAGACAACCAGTGCTGCCAGTCCTCGTGGCCCGGTCCGCTTCTTGGACTACGACTTCGCCATGAAGATTGTCTTCCCAGAGGACGACTTGAGCATGCAGGAGTTCCTCGTTGGCGGAGATCGAGTACCAAGAGACGTCTTGAGCAACACTCGCATGAAGCCCACGGTCAAGGACAAGACCGCTTACTTGACCATCGACACGGCATGCGAGAACACTGTGGGTGGACTCACCCAAGTCAGGCAAGTCGCCAGCATCATCGAGTCGAAGCACAGCGTGAAGCCCCTGATCACCGAGGAGAACGAGTCCTACCGTTTTGGACCTGGAGAGCCCAGAACTTCGAACCACAGGTGGCACATGCCAGTTGGCATTGGAGGCTGTGCAATGGTGATCAAGACTTCCGTGCTGGACGACACTTTGCCTGAGAGTGGCAAGATTCCTTGGCTTGCTGGGCAAGACTGGCTGCGACTGGTCCGTGCAGTCGTAGACATCGGAGAGCAGAAGATCTACCTCAAGGCCCTTGAGACTGAGGCGGAGCTTTTTGTAGACCACACTGGACACCTTGTGGTCGCGGTAGATGATTTTCCAGTCACTGGATGGCCGCAGGACCGTCAGGCATCACAAGACGCCTATGCTGGAGTCCTTTGGGCCACAGGAAAAGCCTACATGCAGCCGAATTTTGCAGCCACTCATGTTTATAGCCCCGAGGATGATCCTTTTTGTGATGGAAGTTTGCAGGAGAGAACCCCTTGCATCGTCGCCTCCGACAAATGGGAATACCTTTTGGATCACCCTCAGGTCTATATTAGGCACCACCACCGTCCAAGGACATCTCGTTTTCATCCTGAAGAAGTTGTTGACGGTCCCCAACCTGATGAACTCCAGTCCGTACGGGTCACCATCAAGCACGGTTACCAGAACGAGTTGATCGATGTTTGGGATGCCCCTCAACGTCTTCTACATGAGGAGCCCTGGACTGGATATACGGTTCTTTTTGGTAAAGATTGTGACCCTGGTTTGGATGTTGGGCCCCTTCTTCCTGCATGGCAACCACAGGGTGTCGACGTCGTTTTCGAGAACGCTGAAACGAGACGTGTGCACCCAGCTTCAGTGAAAACTTCAGTTCAGAAGAGAATTTTGAAATCTTTTGACAAGTCAGTCAAGTCACCTGACCTTCCCATCGATCGCCAAGCTGTGAGATTCAATGTCCCGGCGGAAGAGTTCGGATCAAGCTCACGATCCCGTGCTCGCACCGCAGCCCCACAGATGCAAAGGCATTCGAAAGCCAAAGACGACTTTGTGTGGCTGCGATGGAGCCGCCTGCTGCGCAAGGTGATGATCTACCTCAAGGCGATCGTCTGCAGCCTGGCTTCAACTCGCATGATGAACCAGTTGAAACACCGATCACCAGCTTTGGTGGCCTATGGGGAAGCCCTGATCTCCCACGACCAGATGATCGAGGAGTGGAATCCGGAGGCCTTGCCACCGACCATGCCCCCAGTGACCACTCAGAGCAAGAACTTCGGACTGCCATGGAACCTGAGCTACCCCTACCAGCCGAGGGATTGCCCTCACCTGGTGGAGCATGGAAGACGCTTTGGCAACGCCCATGGGAAGTTCTTGGAGTGCATAAGCTGTGGAATGGTTTGGCGTGGACTGGACTACAAGGTGCCGATTGCCCAGACCCTGGTCACCGTCTACCCGGTCCTCGTGGGAACAAGGGACAAGCCCGGAGGCAAGGTGCTGAAGGGCGAGACTGCGCGCCCAGAGGCTCGCAAAGGAGTCTCCTCCAGCAAGTCCTATGGATCATCGTCTTCCTCACGACCTACCTCTACGGAAGCAGTCTATGGAGCAGCGGACT